AGCACTGCTATCGGCTCTCGTACAGACTTTGAAGGAAGCGGCTGAGGAGGAGTATCTTGGTGAGGCGAGCGTTATTCGTTTATTTGTAAAGCCACCGATCGCGTAATCTTTTGTGAGCGTCTTGAGCGGATCGCGTGTGAGAATTTACGCGGATTTAATTCGGTCGATGTCGTACCGGCAAAGAGTAACGTCATTGTTTCTGTCGACGAGCGCGTGCCATCCGCTCGAGCGTAAGAGTTTGTGAATTCAGGATTGTCGTTATTGCTCGCCCGTGTCACTGCCAAGTCATATTGTTCGTATTGATTGTTGAGATTCCGGTTTGTTTAAGATTAGAGTCGAGCCGCGGGTCACCGCTCAGCATTAGGCTGTCGGTGTGCTGGAAGTTCTTAGAGTCGAACATTTCTAAGTACCGTCGTCGACGACCTTGCCATTGTACTTTCTGTAATAAAGTAAATTTGTCGTCGACGCGCGACCGTGGTATTCTGTAAATTACGTCAGCTCATGTATCGACGCGAATTGAATAAATAGGAAACTCTTTGTTGTTGTTAATATTAATGGCTGTCTGATTATTTCTGTCTGCCTCTACCTCGTTCTCCAACATTGTTCCCCGCTTATCGCGAACCACCCCCTCTGCCAATTTCGTTGGCTGAGCTAGCTGAGCCTGTCCGTCGCGAATTCCGTTGCTCTGTAATTTCTTTGTCCGAGCGTAACATCTTAATATTTAGTGCGAAGAGTGGCACGCTCTCTCGTGCCTGGCGCCCAACGAAAATTAGTACGGCTCGAATATCGTAGCATATAAAATTTAAGGAAGAACCGCACTTTCGCTAATTACATTATTGTGTCCATCTTTTGAGCTATCGCGTAAAAAGAGCAGCGGATGAAGTGACGGAAGTTGTGTCGTTCCTCAAAAGTACGGTCACAATATATATCATGTTTTTATATTATAATTAATAGATATTCATAATCTCAATATATTAATTCGAAAATTTGACGGTAATTACATATACAGAATAGCTACCTCAGCTCAAAAATCGATGAAATTAGGTTTATTCGACGCGTTTTTGTACTTTACGAAAGAATCTGGCAGAAATAAGCTTCGCTCTGCCCCGCAAACCGAGATATTAAGGAGATTCTTAAGCCTCCTGTATTACCGACTAAATCGTATAATTTTTGTATTGTAAATACTTTTTCGTACTAGGGCGCGTAAAATGATAGTTTTACTCCCGCATTTGCGGGAGTAAAATGCGATTTTACACCCCGGAGAATCGTAAATAAATAACACCCATTACTCCCCACTCAGCAAAACAATCCATGAACCTCATTCCCCACCTTCACAGCTCCCTAGTACGAAAAATTTTGTTTGCGACTCGGGAGTAAGGTTTTCACACCCGCGTGTGTTCGACCGTACACTCGGGCTGGCTTCGCCAGCCCTCGTGCCGTCGAACACTCTTCGGGTGTAAAAACCACTTTTACTCCCTAGTCACAAAAATAACTATTTTTGTCATTCACAGATTCGAAAATCCTTTTACAGAATTAAAGTATACGGATTAATACGTGCCTGTGAGGTAGAATCTATGCTGAAAACGATAAAAAATTTCAAAATAGAGTTCTTTTTTTACCATTTTTTAGTCCAATATAGCGCTCCAGAGCTGTCACGTCGTTGCGCGTCGTAACAACATTTGTTTTATATAAAAGCTGCGCAATCTGTACTTAAGAAATAGTAGTCCACAGGCACGTAGTTTGCATGAAGAAACAGCGTGGAGTTCTTAAAATTAGATTTAGATGTCTAATTAAAATATAATTACGATACAAAAATCTACGTATATGTGTGGCGTATGTAAGTCAAATATTGATGTAGTGATGTGTCAATGATACGTAATCGTCTGTGTGTAAAATCCGTTAAGGATCCCCTTAAGCGTTAAAGTTGACGACTATTCAGATTAGGAAATCTATCATACCGACTACATTCAGTACTATAAGTACGCCTTCTTCATGCTCTCTGATCACGAAATTTAAAAATTAATATTTCTATAATTGTACTGTCGCACATGGGTTTCGACTATGCGTCCTTTTAGTCGAAACCCATGTAGACAGAGGAGTGTGTGGACAGTCATGCGTGGTCTACAATGGACAGTAGCAGTAGTGGATTAAGGAGTAGGCGTAGAAATCGACCAATGATAGTTAATTGTCCTCCTCACATTCGACTATGATTTGTTGATTTCTACGCCTACTCCTTAATCCACTACTGCTACTGCCCATTGTAGACCACGCATAAGACATAGGTTCAGGGCGGCTACGCCCCGAACCTATACCTTATATGTATAATTACCAATTTGACACTTCACCCTTGTGATTTGGGATATAGTCGAAACAAGCCGAAATGAATAAAAAAAAACCGAAGACAAGTATGCATATGCGCCGCGGCAGTTGCCATCGTTATCAACTTGATAATATCAAGTAGAGGTAGAGAGCTTGTAATCAGAGAGTCGCCAACTTATCACGTGATCCGAATCGCACTCTGATTGGTTTGAGGCACATGGCGCTTAGATAAGGTTAGAGAGACAGTGCTGCAGCCTACAGCTTTGATCTTCCTGTTATTGTCACTCTACCTTTTCGAGCCAATCAGAGTGAGATTCGCACGCCGCGGCATGACTACTAAATGTTCGGCGGCGGCGGCGTATCTAGTTCCACCGGCGGCAGCGGCGTGGCATGGCGGCGCACAGCTCTAATTTTAACATTCATAAATCCGTATTTCTGAAAGTGCTGATACGCCATTCCTAATTCTCGTAACAAAGACATCAATCCCTCTGAAAAATTGCAGACAAAACATTTTTAATTATATTATAGTCAAAAAATATCAAATAAATTAATAAAATAATTAACATACCTGCTGATTGCTCTTGTAATGTTATATCAGAGTGAATATTATTATTTTGGCTTGCATTAGCCACAGCTTTCTCAGATGTGATCGTTTCGCTTTTCTCCTTTTCGTTCCTATTCCTCTCGTTTAGCTCATTAAAGATGATTTTTGTAATATCGTGAGGGCTCAATAAAAATCCGAAAGTACGATGAAAAAGCAAAACGTGTATTCTGGCTGAAAGCTTCCGTTACAATTGCAAAACGAAGCGCCTCAGGCGTCCGCGTGCGTGGCATAGCGCTCTCTACATAGACTTACTAAGAAGGAGGGAAACTTACAATTGATAAAAAAGAATCTTAAGGATACTACAATACCCTCCTCCCAAGTTTACAAAAACATGAAATAAAATTTGAACAAGGAATTCTTATTAACTAAGGGATATAACGCTCAGGTTTCTTGCGTATTCTACTGCTTCTGGTATTTCCTATTACGGATATTGGCAATCGGCTGGTACTTTTGCTGTTACGAGGAGCTATAACTGCCTTATTGCTGTTACTACAAGCGCTGGATGGTTTATTGGTGCCATCCTGCAAAGGCTTCTTAACATTATTTTGAATAACAGAAGGGGCAGATTGCAATTTTTCTTTATCTTCATAACTTATTACTATAGGAATTCGATTATCTGTACTTAAATCTAAATTACGCGGGTTGGGAATGCAATTATCATTATGAGCAGCAACAATCAACTGATCGAGGTGTCTTTTTCAGACCTCACCAGTTCTAAGTTTTACTGGATATGTACGTGAGCCTAATACTTCCGCGATTACAGCAGGGGCCCATGTTTTCTTATTTAGCGTTCGATAATCACGAGCCATAACAGAATCTCCTTCATTAAAAAATGTATCGCGAGTTCCCTTGTACTGCTCTTGTTGACTTTCTATTTGCCTCTTCTTAAACGCTGGCTTTATTAAATCTATTAATGTTCTAACATTGCGGCTAAACATCAGCTTTGCTGGGGTTTCTCCGGTTACACAATGAGATGTAGTTCTGTAAGCCAACAGGAATCTATTGAGAAGAGTTTTAATGGACGCCGATTTGTTCTTGGGGTCCTTCATCAATTTGGCTAAAGCCGTTTTTAAAGTTTTCACAAAATTCTCAGCTGCACTGTTCGTTGACGGATGAAATGCTGGTGATGTGCTGTGTTTGATCTTGTTTTTCATACAAAATACTGCAAATTCTTTAGACGTAAATTGTGCACCGTTGTCAGTAACAATTTGAGAAGGAAGTCCAAAGCGAGCAAATACTTCTCTAAGTGCTTCAATTGTAGACGTAGCATCTGTGTTCATTATGAAGACCTCCGGCCACTTGGAATGAGCGTCAATACATATGAGAAACATGTGACCCTTAAATGGTCCAGCGAAATCAAGATGAATTCTTTCGAATTGTTTTTCCGTTTGATGCCATTTTATGAGTAAAGCTTTCTCAGGCTCGACTCTGAACGACATGCATATTTCACAGTTTTTGACTAAATTCTCCAAATCTTGATCTATATTTGGATACCAGACGTAAGATCTTGCTAATTGTTTAAGTTTTGTGATGCCAAAATGGCTTTCATGAAGTTGCTTTAATATAGTTGATCTAACCTTGTTAGGAAGTACCACTCTATACCCTCACATTAAAATACCTTGATCTACGTTAAGTTCGTTTCTGCGAGTATAGAAGGGTTTGAAACTTTCTTCAATCTGTTATGGCCACGCCTCGTTGACATAAGTCACAACACGACTTAAAAGAGGATCATTTCGGGTTGCCTCACGAATTTGTAAATAGTCCATAGGAAATCCGTCTTCCATAAAGTGCAAATATTCAGTATCTGAATCTTCTTCTAATTCTGTGGTAGATATAGATAAGCGTGACAATCATCAGCATCACCATTTTCACTACCTTTCACATATTGCATTTTGTAATTGAAATCAGACAAGAATATGGCCCATCGCTGAAGTCGACCTGTGGCCATTACTGGAATGCCTTTCTTTTCACCAAATAAGGCAAGCAGTGGTTTGTGATCTGAAGCTAAAATAAAATGTTGTCCTACGAGGTATTGACTAAACTTCTTTACGCCCCAATAGATAGCTAATGCCTCCTTATGAATCACAGAATATTCTTTTCCTGCTTTGGATAGAACTCTTGAAGCAAATGCTATAGGCCTCTCGGCTCCATCTGGATAAACGTGCAGCAACACAGCACCAATTCCATGTTGCGAAGCATCTGTCGCTAACTTTATTGGAATAGTTGGATCATGATGAGCTAATACGACAACCGATTTTAAGATGCATTTGGCCTTCTTGAAACTTTCTTCACAGTTGCGGTCCCAATGAAAAGTTACGTTTTTCTGCAGTAATTGATAAAGGGGTTGTAAAATTTCTGGTAAATTTGGAATAAATCGTCCATAGTAATTCACCATACTGACAAAAGCGCAAACTTGTGTAATATCATTTGGTGTGGGTGCCTCTTCAATAACTTGAACTTTATTTGGATCCATATGTAATCCTTTAGCATCGATAATATGACCAAGAAACTGTAAATTGTCTCTTAAAAAACTCACATTTTTCCATGTTTAATCTAAATCCAGCTTCTCTGAGTCGGGTTAAAACTGCTCTTAAATTGGATAAATGTTTCTCCTCAGTTTTTCCAGTAATGAAAATGTCATCGATGTATACAGCTACTCCTTTGAGGTCCCTTAATATTTTCTGCCTTCATTTGAAATATGGCACTCGCAGGTTTCGTGCCAAAGGGTAAACGGTTTACAAGGAATATACCCTTATGCGTGCTCCAAGCTAATAATTCACGTGTACTTTGTTCTAGCAATAATTGATTAAATGCATTCTTGAAGTCTAATTTAGTAAATTTTTGTCCACCTTGAACAGCAGTAAAAATTTCTTCAATCTTGGGCAGTGGATAATTAACGTCTTCCAGATGTGGATTGATTGTTAGGCTATAATTAGCACATAAACGCAGTGTTTTATTGGCTCTCAATACTGGTACTAATGGTGTGCCCCAACGCGAGCTTTCTACTTTAGTAATGACTCCCTGTTTCTCTAACTTTGTAAGTTCTGCATCAACTAAATCGCGAAATGCAAAAGGGATTGGTCTCGGTTTACAAAAAATAGGTGATACATTGTCTCTAAGACTTAATTGAATTTTTTCATGCTTGTACGTGCCAATACTAGGCTTAAAAATATCTGCAAACTCTGCTAATAATGATTGCAAACTCAACTTATTTTCTATATTTTTGTCGCTCTTAAAATTAATAGCTAATAACTTGACTTGAAAATTTTTAAACATTTTAAATGCTGATATCAAATCACGACCTAACAATGGTCTACCTTCGCTTTTTACAATTAATAATCTCGCGGGTACAAAGCATTTACCGTAATTTGCTGTTACAAAAATTTCGCCTACAGGAGTGATAATATTACCATCATACAACCTTAACTTATATTTGACGCTTGCAAAGGAATTTCTTTAAATACATTACGATAAATATTATAAGGTAATACAGACATGCCAGCTCCGGAATCCACCTCCATTAGATGGGTTTACCGTTGATTTTTATAGTTACTTTAATTGGTTCAATCACTGTCTTCTCGATGTTTAGACTGAACATTTCTATTGTTTCCTTCTCAGAAATTTCTGACTTTTCTGTTTGATCCGATAAATAATTTGTGGAAGTGTCTGCCTTTTTGCATGCTTTAGCTATATGTCCCATTCCGTTACATGTTTTACATCTATACTTTTTATACCTGCAACTAGAAAAATTATGATTAGTATTACCACATGCATAACATTTAAGTTGATCTGCGGATGACGCCGTGTCTCCTTTAGGTTTAGTTTTTGTAGACGTGTCCTTTTTGTGCTTATTTTGGAATTTTTGTTTGGCATTTAATTTGTGGATGGATGTAGACATCTCACTTAAAGCAGTTTCCTTTTTTAATGCTAATTCCAATAATTCTTGAATTGTCTTTGTTTCCGTCTCTTCACACAATCTGTCTAAAATTTTTCCAGACAATAATCCACTAACAAAGCGGTCACGCAAAACGTTATTTAAATCGTTGCCAAAATTGCATAAAGCGGCTAAGCTTTTAAGACGTGCATAATATTTAGTAATAGATTCATCTTGCATTTGTTGCATTTTGTAAAATTCTATGCGTTTTCGCCACACTGAGGTTCTCGGTGAAAATTGGGTTTCTAGCAAATTGCATAATTCGTCAAACGTTTTCGAATCTGGTAGTTCTGGGTCGCATAAATCATTTAGTGTGCAATAGACTGATTTAGAAATTGATGTAAATAAAACAGCTACTCGCCTGTTGCCTTGTACATCATTGGCTACAAAATATTGTACCAGACGTTGTCGATACAATTTCCAGTCATCACCATCTTCATAAATTTCCAATCGACCTACGTTTCCGAAAAAGACTATCGGTTGTTGCGCCATGGTTTACGCGTGAAAAAGCCGTTGAGTAACCTCAAAACTGTACTTTCTTGCTCGAGAATAAACGTGCCCTCGAAACTTAAATATGTTGGCCATTTTGTGAATAATGTAAAGCACAATTGCCAGTTATGCCTTGTCGCCAATTTGTAATATCGTGAGGGCTCAATAAAAATCCGAAAGTACAATGAAAAAGCAAAACGTGTATTCTGGCTGAAAGCGTCCGTTACAATTGCAAAGCGAAGCGCCTCAGGCGTCCGCGTGCGTGGCATAGCGCCCTCTACATAGACTTACTAAGAAGGAGGGAAACTTACAATTGAAATAAAAAAGAATCTTAAGGATACTACAATTTTATTTAAATTTGCCTTGGCTAGTCTCGCTTTCGTCTTCCGAGATGGAGACTTTGGAGTTGCAAATTTATTCCTGTTAGGTGACTTATTGTTTTCCTGAAATATATGTCATATCAAATTGACAGTAATCGATAAAATGTATAATAAAAACTGTAATTAAAAGATAAATAAATTTAAAAAACCACATTTGATTAAGATAGATGTCTAATAATTTTTGTGTAAAAATTTTGTAATGCCCAGTTCAGAAGTAAAAGAAATTAAACAAAAAATTGTACCTTTACGGAATTATGGCTGAAAAGTCGCGATGATCGTCTAACATTGGTGCCTTGAAATGTCAATGACGGAGGTGAAGTCGGATTAGCTGCCGTCACAATATTGGCAGTATTACTTGTATTACCCGATTGGGAAAATACCGATTTGCCTTGTTGCAATGATGTTTCTTTTCTTGACATTCTCATTTATCAGAATTATGTTTGGCTCAGGAAGAATTAGGATTTGGTTTGTCATTAGCTCCAAAATTGAAAACAAAATTATTAGATCCACGCAATCATTTTCAAAATTTGAAAGTTAGCAACACTACTAATGTATTAAATCATGCTGTGAGTTCTGCTTTACAATTTCATGCACAGATCGAACGTACGTGATTCAAGTATAATAACTACTTCTTGGTTCATAAGTTTCATCTCTAAATGGTTTCAAATAATGAGTGCAAGAGCACTAAAATTAGCTTTAGGCAAACGTAATATTGAAAAGTTCGAAGAAACATTAAATTTTTTAGAAGAAGTTGTTCGAGTGATGCAGGAAATAGAAGTAGATGATTCAAGATCTTGGAAACCATTCCAAACAGGAATAATTATATCTATAATGTCTGCTGTAGAATTATCGAAATACTTGATAATGAAGGTTTTGAATTTGTTCTCACATCGCGATTTATGCAAGATTGCTTAGAAAATTTGTTTTCTGTTGTTCGTTCTAAGCATGTAATACCAAATGCAGTCCAGTTCAAAAATGATCTCAAATTAATCACAGTTTCGCAATATATGAAACATATTAAACACGGTAGTTATATGATAAAGATGATAGTGAATTTTTGCCACAGTTTTTAGAAACTATGTTAGAAAAGAATCGTTTCTTCAACAAAAATAAAGATATTGCTAGGAATCAAATAATACAAATAAATACTGTTTCTTGTGATAATATAAATCTGGAGACACGGTAGTGTCTCGGCGCTAAGCCAAGCGCGCGACACTACCGTGTGCCTCCTTTACGCGAAACGGAGAATTTTTCGGGGTCGAGATGATCAGATCTCAGTAACGGCTGAACCGATCAAGTTCTACATACGCTCAATCGACAGGAAATACTTAAATTATATGATAAAAATACTTTCATTTTTTCTCTACGTGCCCTACGATGAGCGGAGATATCACGACGCAAAGTCCGGATCTGTGAATTTTCACGTTTTATTTTTAAGATACGTCGTCATTGTCAACGTCGTCAACCAGAGAAAATGTCCATCTCGTTTTTTCGATAATAGAGGGCCTTCGACTTTATGTGTTATCTCACTCTATCTAACATCTCACTCTATCTATTGTTATTTATTAATAGTATATATGTATATATATATATATATAAAATTGTTGTTATATATATAAAAATATTAAAATTGAAATATCGAAATATAGAGATATGTTCGTCGTCGAGGAAGTATAAGTGTCTACGTCTTTGATTTCGAGGAAGTGAGTGGCTAGGTGTTTGCCTTCGAGGAAGTGAGTGTCTAGGTGTTTGCCTTCGAGGAAGTGAGTGTCTAGGTGTTCGCCGTCGAGGAAGTGGGTGTCTAGGTGTTCGCCGTCGACGAAATAAGTGTCTAGGTGTTCGCCGTCGAGGAAGTAGGTGTCTACGTGTTCGCCTTCGAGGAAGTGAGTGTCTAGGTGTTCGTCGTCGAGAAAATAGGTGTCTAGGTGTTTGTTTGTATGTAAAAAACATCGTTGTCGTCGTCATCGTCATTGTTGCCAGCTACGAAGTGAGGAAATACATTCTGGAATTTTTGGCGCAAGAGATAAATGTGGTCGCGAGACGGGTATCTATAAATCACATCGATGGCATAGACGAACACGTAAGTGAGGTTAGAATAAATATCGACCGCTGCGATCTGTACGATCGTTAAAGTCAGATAAAGAGTCTCGGCAATAACAAAGGATTGAGGTTAGGAAATCTATCACATTGATGGCATAGAATATACGAACACGTAAGTGAGGTTAGATATTTTCTGCTTTATTACACAAATTCTCTGCTGTAACTCCGCTGTAAGAATACAAATTATTTTCTTTTTACAGCATTTGGTTAGATTACTTATTTACCGAGACTACCGTGTCTCCAGATCTGTTATTTATTTGTTTGGTAGATATCTTAATTTGTATTCTCTATTCCTTATATAATTATAAAAGAATTGATTATTTGTACTTTGTTGATAGGAAAAATCTGAAAAGAAAAGAGGTATGGATTTAAACGATTCTTCCCTTTTCTTTTCAGGACTTTCCCTTTAATAAATCTGAAGATAAAATACAGCACAAAGAATTAATTCTTTTATAATAATAAAGATAAAACTTATTTGATACAGTTACTCAAAGCATAAAATTACTTGGATTTAGTATTGAATTCTTCAAAACTTTAAGTAATTATCTAATAATAAAATATATTAACATGGAAAGTAACTGATATATGATTGAAGGTGCCAGTTCAAAGTGAACATTCATAAAATGTATATATTATTGAAGGAGCCAGTTTAAAGTAACATACACCAACAGTTCCCAACTTTACGTCTGACTTGAATACCTCATTATGTATGCCAAGGTTTTTTACCATTTCATTATCTTCCAATAATAAAATGTATTACGTTAAAATAGACAATATGGTAAGACAATTTAATAAGATTTCTTTTGAAATTGATACTGATCTTTTCTGAATCATTTTTGAGATATAAAGAACTGTTATTTTGATCTCTCACCTAGAATACTATATTTGATTCAAGATTTTGGAGTACATAAGAATTCTTTTGAAATTAATACTGATCTTTTGTGATTCATTTTTGAAATATAAAATACTGTTATTCTGATCTCTCACCTAAAACA